TTTTGTCTTCTTCTTTTTCGCAGGCGTCCAAGGCATACGAAATTCAGCAGCGCAACGTGGGTTCCAAAAAGTTGTTACCTTTCGGGAACCTTGACTAAACATGGGTGAATCACTAAAAAAAAGCCCAACGGCTTTTCAGGTTCGGCGTATTAACAACCTACAAGTGGGTTCTTCTCAGAACCCATATATTGAGTCCCAAGCCATGTGGTGCTCCCTTCGAAGCCAAAGAAGAGAATGATTCGGTTCCTCTGAGAAGCAAACCCATATGAGTCATACGGAGAAACCGATCGGTACCAAAATGGTGAACCCCAAACCATGTAATCTCAACCCCTGATTAATAAACCCCTGGTTGATTAATAGGGGGTGTCCCCTTTAGTGGGGATTCATCACTTTTGGAGAGAACGCCCCCCCTAATAATGGGACGGGTTCTAAGATTCTACTTAGATCCTGGGTCAACATTCAAGAGCTACCAAGGGTTTCCGCGCCAACTTCTGGTTGGGAGTGTCCCTTCATCCCGGTTTTTATTGTGGCGCAGATGAGTTGCTACCTCGCTCTTGGAGCTCGAAGGCGCAAGCTGCCGCAACTCAAACTCAAAACCCGGGCGTTGCGCCTCTTCTTTTCTTGAAGGTGCGGCCCCCAAAACCCAACAAGAAAGCGCCCGGCAGCTTCACAGCTTCTGGCGGTTCACCAGAGCGCAAAGACCCGGAGGCTTGGCGAAACCCGAAAAGCTCCACCATTTCACCCAGCGACCCAGGCACTAAGAACTCAGTCCCGGCTGCGAAATCCATTTCGTGCCACTTGGAAACTGTGGGAAACCATAACGTTGGTTAGTATTTGCATCGAATCACTGTAAGGTTTCTTAGGTGGTGGATTTCATCCATCCAGGGATCCCACCCAAGGAAACTCCCCAACTCTTTCGCTCGCCTTTCGATTTGGCCCACTCCCGGGGTGAAGAAATCGGATTAGCTGTGCGCGTTCACATGAGGGTCAGTTTCTGGGGTTCGTTTTGATGCCAAAGTGCCAAGGTTCTGTAGGGAAAAATTACTTTGTTTAACAAACAAGGTTCAGGGTTCCAGGGAAGAACGTATGGACCCAAAACAAGGTTGAAGGATTCACCTAGGGCGAGTTCCTCGTTTCCCGAAGTCCAACCCAATGGTGCCCGGCTGACAGCAACCCAAAGATCTTCGAAGCCGCGCTCGCACAGTGCGAGCGAACCAGGTGCACCAAAAAACGCTCGAGAAGAAGTGTTCACTTTCCATGTCTTCACAACTCTCTTGGAGCACGCTCATGATGGTCGGCATGATCAGTGCTTGGCTTCATGTGTTTTTGCGAAAACTATCAACGGCAAGCCCAAGCCAGATGAAACTCCCCCCTCGGCCTTGGCGGTTTGGGCCCAATCTTCGGCATCCCTGCGCAAGGAAACGGCATGGCCGTGTCTGGGCGATTCAATCGGGGCGAATCGAAGTTGAAGAATGTACCCCATATTAATCAACCCCACCTAGATAGCCAAGTTGCTGCTTTCTTCAGTCATTGTTGCTGGTTTTTGCGGTAAAGTGCATGGAAGAAACAGCAACTGGCGATCCAGGCAGTTTATTCACAGTTTATTCACAGGCGGGGGTGGATTTTTGCCCCTCCAAAAGTGGTCTGACTCCCCACTATCTATAGACCCAGGAACACCCGCCTAAACTGGGGTTTGTTCATGTGGGGTCAACATTCCTAGACGAAATTTCCGCGCCCACCGGCACCGGGATTCGCAAGAGTCGCAGGGCTCCTCTCTCCCATCTGCTGGGAAACTGATTTTGCCCATCTGGCCTGGCGTTTTGCTAAGGGCACATGGCGACGTCCACTGTCAGGAACCAAATCTGATTCATTCAATCCCCGACAAGCTTTGCGGCAAGTGAACCACTCACAACCCCAAATTTCACAAGCGAACTGCAGTTCTTTGAGGAAACCCTTCTAGGCCACCGGTCCAAGAGATCAATGGCGGACGCAAAGCTAAGCTCCAATGGCTGCCAGAATCGAAACGGCGCCCTGACAACCGGGGCAGTGCGAAGAAGAAGAAGAAGAAGAATCGAAATGTTCACATGCAAGCATACCATTACGTGTATAGGTATGTGTATATAGACATACCGAGATATATATATATATATACAAAGTATATATGGGATCTCTTTTTGAGGGTGCCCCCATTTCGTTGGCTTTAAAGAAAAAACCAAAACAAACACCCTGAAACAAACACATCCATGTGTAGATATGGGTGGTTTAAAGGGAAACAAAAAGGAAAACCACTATTCGGGCTCCCCTTACAAGGACACAACTAGACAAAAAGATAATATAACGCATTTGGCGCGTTCAGGCGTCGCCAAACGAATTTTCCTGTGTCTTCAACGGTTCTGGACGTTTTGTCAAAGCGCTCTTTTCTGCACGCCTTCCACCCCAACAGCCAAGACGTGTGTCTAGATATGAGTGGGGGCTACAAAAGGGGACCCCAACTGATGGTGTTCCTGTTGGTCTCCCTTTAAAGCAACCACAGGAGTGCCGAGCCTCCCAAAAGGAACCAAACCCATCTCCCATGAAGCCAGAAGCCCAGTCAACATTTCCCTCAAAGCTCTGGATATTCGAACTGGGAACTTGGCTGATGGACCTGAACCGCCGCAGCCTGTCCAAAAATGTCCCTGAGTCAAGCTTCCAAAATGTCCAACAAAAAGAACGCTTGGCGCCCAAAGGCAAGCCCTCGTTGTCGCCACTTCCGAGAGCTCCGAGTCCGCACCCAGCGAGTTTGAAGCGCTCCGGCACCCTCCGACCCACTGGCGCCTCCCGGAGTTGCCATCAGAGACAACCCCCGGCGCTTCGGCCGGGGGTCGGTGTGCGCCAAAGTGCCGGGGGCTTTGGCCCCATGCGTTGTGTTTCAGGCGTCTGGTCAAACATGAGAAGCAAACATTTGGCTGCCCTTCTTCCTCTTTTTCCCCAGATAGCCGAATGCTACAGGGTTCCACCTTCTTAATAAAGAGGGGAAATTGATTTGCGAGATGCTAGGGGGCGTGCAGTTGGGGAAATTGTTTTGGTTGGTAATTCCTTTGAGACTCCCAAGTGGTACAAGTCAGGCAGGCAGACAGACAGACAGACATAGATTACCTAGATTACATAGACTACATAGACTACATACATTGCATACATTACATACATAGATCACATACATACACAAGCATAAACACAAACATAAATATAAACGTAAATATAACAACACTTGCCGGAGAGGAAGAGGATGCGGGAGGCCAAAGCTAAAATGCTACGAAAGGCAAAAGCCACAAAGCCATGGAGGAACTGGGAAAAGCAGAGCATGCAAAAAGCCACAGCCAAGAAGGCCATCACAAGCCGCATAAACCCAATAAAAGCCGCAAAGAAGAAGCCGAAAAGCCGAGAAGCCAAAAAGCCATAAAGCCAAGAAGCCGAGAAGCCCACAAGCCGAAAAGCGGAGAAGCCAAGAAGCCAAGAACCGAAAAAGAAATAGAAAAACAACTAAAAAACATAAAATACCTCTCCTTCGTGCCGACAAATACATTTATTTGCCAGTCTGGCACCAGGATGTCCGGTACTTGAAAGCCCTTCAAATAGTGTAGCTCCGGCTTGGACCCGTTTCAGGGCGACTGGGGGTCCTCTACTGTTTTCACGTTTTCATGGGAAATGTCGATGAATGCGCCTCTGATAAATTGGACCGAGAGCTTCTGCAGGACTGCGCTGTGTCCATGTCGACTGAGCCAGGCTCGCGCGGAAAAACGTGAAGTCAGGATTGCCGCATATATGTGTGTATACATATACATAGATCATTTACATATGAATATATACATACATCTAATTACAGGATGTGATGTATATATATTTGTGAGAAATGACTTTTTGATAGGGGACCCTTTGGTGGATAGAATTCCCGTCCGAGGCCCTTCATACCCTTCTTGCGTGATTTTGTGGATTTGTTCTATGGGGCAGGCAGATCGGCCGAAGCAGATGTATGGAGCTTGTATACCACTCCTACAACGGGGGTATACATGATGGCCTAGGTTTCTTTCTCCACAAAGTTGACTTCCACCCGTTGTATGATTGAAACCAACAGTCGAACCCATCGATGTTCAAAAGAACTGCCTCAAGAAAATCGGTTGCACCTGCCCAGAGGGCCTACAAATCCAAGCTTCACCTTTTGGAACCTTGACCAGACATACTGTGGACCCACTCCACACGAGATGCCACCGCTGAACCTCCAAAGAGACGCCCCAAAGGCAACCGGGCCTGGAGACCAACGGCTCTGTCTCGCGGTTTCGGTGTCCTTTCGGTTTCCTTTTTAGACCGACCAAAAAGGGCACCAAGGTTCCAAAAGGGCAGACCCACTTGCTTGGGGGGCTGCTCATTTTCTTCAGAGCTAGGTTGCAACACGATCCTGTAGGTCTGCTTGTTGAGGCTCGGTACCCTTTTTGGATGTGGAAGCCAAAAGGAAAACCCGAGATCCGTTCTGGGGGTCCACCAGTGCGAGACAAAGCCTCTGAGAGGCCTCCGCACCCAAGACCTGACACCAGCGCAGGCCAAGGTGTCCCAGAGACGCCACAGACATGGGTCTGAAGTTGAATTCACCACCCATTAAGAACCTATTTTAGTGGGGATTGCGATGTTCAGTGGGGGTACGATTTGGATTTTGACCCGTGGCCATTTAGGTGGACATCAAAATTGGGTGGGGATCCATGTCCATCCAACCACTTTGGGGGTTCCCTACAAGTCATAGCCAAATGGGCAACCTGCAAAAGTGAGCTAATCTTCGAAAGTCGGGGGGGTGGGGGTTGGTTGTTCTTCTGGCCCTTTGCTTGGGTGCTTTTTTGGGGGGGCCCAGGTGACGGCCAAAGATAAGACTAGGGCTCACATGGACAAACGAATATCTAGACCCTCAGCCTTCCCTTTCCAACCAAAAGCCGACACCGGAACCTCGACCGATGGCACCTGGCTGAAAGGCTTTTCCCGCATCTCTGGCAGCGCTTCGCGGCGTCTGGGAGCGCTCCAGAAGATTTCACATGCCCATAACACCCTGAACGCGCCTGGAAATGTGGTTCACAATAATTGCCGAAAAAATGCTTGACGCAAAATCAAGACACCTAAAAGTGCTTGCATCATCCACAAACTCAATTTCTTGCGCCCACAAACTCCTAGACCACTCTTCAAGCAGCGCTCGAAGCCCTCCCTGAAACACTCCACTGCGTTGTAGTCTCGGCCGTCCACAGTGCCGCCCCATTCACATCCTAAACATATCCAAGCTTCACCGTTCTTCTTATTCAGCTCTAAGCTCCTCAAGAAGCACTCCTTTTCTGTGAAGCTCTGGCCGTCCACAGTACCGCCCCCTGCACATCCAAAATTGCTCCAAGCCATATCATTTTTCGGATTCAGCTCCAAGCTCCTCAAGTAGCACTCCTGCTCGCTGAAGCTCCGGCCGTCCACAATGCCGCCGCCTGCACATCCTAAACAGTTCCAAGCCATATCATTCTTTAAATTCAGCTCCAAGCTCCTCAAGTAGCACTCCTGTTCGCTGAAGCTCCGGCCGTCCACAATGCCGCCCCCTGCACGTCCTAAATTAATCCAAACCATATCGTTCTTTGGATTCAGCTCCAAGCTCCTCAAGTAGCACTCCTGTTCGCTGAAGCTACGGCCGTCCACAGTGCCGCCCCCTGCACATCCTAAACAGTTCCAAGCCATATCATTCTTTAAATTCAGCTCCAAGCTCCTCAAGTAGCACTCCTGTTCGCTGAAGCTCCGGCCGTCCACAATGCCGCCCCCTGCACGTCCTAAATTAATCCAAACCATATCGTTCTTTGGATTCAGCTCCAAGCTCCTCAAGTAGCACTCCTGTTCGCTGAAGCTACGGCCGTCCACAGTGCCGCCCCCTGCACATCCTAAACAGTTCCAAGCCATATCATTCTTTAAATTCAGCTCCAAGCTCCTCAAGTAGCACTCCTGTTCGCTGAAGCTCCGGCCGTCCACAATGCCGCCCCCTGCACGTCCTAAATTAATCCAAACCATATCGTTCTTTGGATTCAGCTCCAAGCTCCTCAAGTAGCACTCCTGTTCGCTGAAGCTACGGCCGTCCACAGTGCCGCCCCCTGCACATCCCAAATTGCTCCAAGCCGCAGCGTTCTTCGGATTCAGCCCCAAGCTCCTCACGTAGCACTCCTTTTGGCTGTAGCTCCGGCCGTCCACAATGCCGCCCCCTGCATGTCCTAAATTAATCCAAACCATATCGTTCTTCGGATTCAGCTCCAAGCTCCTCAAGTAGCACTCCTTTTTGCTGTAGCTCCGACCGTCCACAGTGCCACCACCTGCAAATCCTAGATTGCTCCAAGCAATATCATTCTTTAAATTCAGCTCCAAGCTCCTCAAGTAGCACTCCTGTTCGCTGAAGCTCCGGCCGTCCACAATGCCGCCCCCTGCACGTCCTAAATTAATCCAAACCATATCGTTCTTTGGATTCAGCTCCAAGCTCCTCAAGTAGCACTCCTGTTGGCTGAAGCTACGGCCGTCCACAGTGCCACCACCTGCACATCCCAAATTGCTCCAAGCCGCAGCGTTCTTCGGATTCAGCTCCAAGCTCCGCAGAAAGCACTCCTTTTCCCTGAAGCTCCGGCCGTCCACAGTGCCACCACCTGAAACCCCCAAACAGTTCCAGGCGAAGTCACAGGTCAAGTCCACTTCCAGCGCTTCCAAAAACCGCCCAGCCCGGCACAGGTCCAGCGCCCTCCCCCGGTCTCGGCACTCCTCCTCGCTGTATGTCCTGCCGCTCACCGTGCCGCCGCCCGCATCCGCCAAGCGCCGCCAAGCACCTGGCAGCGTGGCATCCAGGGCCAAGGCCCGTTCCAGGCACGTCCGCACGGTCTTGTTCCGGCCATGAACAACCACCGACCACCCCGCAGCAGTTCCACACTCCGCCAGGGCCAGCCACGCTTTGGGATCCAACTGGTTCGCCAAGACCCAGGCACGCGCGGCATCCAGGTTGCTGCGGGGCAGCTCATTCGGCAGCAGCTTCAGCTCCAAACTGTCGGCAAACACGAAGGGGTCCCCATCTTCACAGCTCCGCTTCTGGCTTCTTGTCACTATCAGCCGTTGCAAAGGCCGGCCCAGAAGCTCCTTCTCCTCTGGAAAGCGCGAAAAGGCTTGGATGGATTTGAGCTTGCCCCTGCCGCCGCGGATCAAGTAGAGCATTCGCTTTCCCCGCTGGCCACAGAACAAATCTTTCCTCATGAGCTCTTTGTCAGACGTCATGGATTTGAAGGTGTACCAGCAGATCTCTGTTCCTGCCTCGAACGTCCCCTCCAGGTCTTCATGCACAAAGCCTTTCACTCCTCTATAGAGCACTGCCTCACCTGGTCGACACAATTGGACTCCCTTTCGAACCCGCCAAATGTCAGTCAAACAATAAAAGGTCTTTCAAAGCATCCCAGAAAAAAACCCTCAATCAAGCAAGGACGCACCCCCATTTTCTCAGCAGGCCTGCCTGCTGGCTGGAAGAGAAACTTTTCGGGCAGGGCCCCCAAGGCAACGTCCATGAACTTGACGAAGGTCATGGCCGCTCGCATCTTCGGAGACTTCCTCACTCGCCCAAATTGGCCGGAAACAAAAGCTTACACGTTGGGGACCTTGACTGCCAATCGACCCAAACAAAGAAACAAAAGGTCAGAAGGTCGGCTTTGCGCAGCTAAGTTTCACATCTTTCCGGCGGTCTGGATCGTTCAGCAAGCGACTGATCTTACTGTACACCGAGGGGCTCTTCAGAGTGTACGTGTGGAGAGCGAGGGCAAAGTCCATGAAGTATTCCGGGAGCTCTTGGTCTTGCAAGAAGCGGTCCTTCCGTGTGCTTCTCGCAACTGCAAAGCGTGCAGCATGTGAGGCACTGGCTTGAAGTTTCCCAAAGCCTCTCAACTCCCTTCGGCAACAGCTACAAGCCACTCCCCGCCGAGTAAGCCAGAGGTCACAAGCAGACCTGAACGAAAAACAAAAACTTCGAGGGAGAGTGTGTTTCAAGCGCCCATGACAACGTAACGCCTTCGTCCATCATGATCGTGTTCCAACTGGAAAGAGCAAGCCCAACTCGGAACTAAAAGCTTACTCTTCATGGCCCTTCACAGTCTAAAGCTGTCCCGAAGCAAAGACCAAAATCGGAAAGGAAGTTGCGATTGTCCAACCAACTGGGCAAATGATGCACTTCCACCAGACCCAAAACACAATCCTCAACGGGAAAATGTGACGGTATTTGACCTTCAAGTAGACTTTGCATAGTGACATAGTAGAGACCCAGATAAATCTTTGGAGTGATTTTGAATATGACAGCGAACTGGGAGATTAGGAAGCCACATGCCACATGTCTTGTGTCTACCAATCACACGTTCATGTTGTGCGATTCCCCTAGCCATCTGGAGATACATAAATAAAAAGAGAAAGAAAATATGAAGAAGAAAAAAAAATCTGGCAAATGGAATCTCTCCTTCTCCCACCTCTTCCTCTTGGCATCCAAAATCTCCGCCAGCTCATCCACGTCCACTCCCAGCTCCTTCAGGCCAGCGGTAGCCTCGCGATGGGAATCCTGGGAAGATGCTTGGATTTGTGTCAACCAAAAGCCGGGTGTCCCTGTGTGCGTGTGCTCAGTCGCTTTCTGCTCCTGTGCTAAAAGTGACTAACTTTTTGTGGCTTAATGGAACACCAATCAGTTGGCAAAAAGTTAAAGTCCTAACATCCAAAATTCGCCATTATTTTACTGTGGTTCAGGAAAAAAAAAAGAATTTGTGTATGTGTGTCTGTCGTGAAATAAGACGGCAAAGACAGGCCAAGAGGGTCATCGTTAAACGCGCACTTGCATAAAGAAAAACACGAGGTCACTACAGGTGGCATTCGCAAGAACTCGGTGGTGTGTGCGCTTGAAACTGGAAATTGTCAAGCGATCTCCAAAGACCACCCAAAGGCAGCTATAAGCCACCCTCTCAAGGAAGAACATAGAGAAGACTTTGACATTTGAGTTGTTCCTTGCTGGTTAGGAGGGAATGAGGGATTTTTTATCCCTTGTGGTTGCCATTAAAGGGCAGTGACAGGTTCATGCCCAAAACCCAAACGTTGACACCCTTCATTCCAAAGGACTCTTAAAGCTGCGCCCTCTATGAAGGCTGCAAAAGCATCGCGGCTCGCCGCGCCTGCCAAATGTCGGTCGGCATCTTGGTGCGCTCGAAGAGCCGTGTCAGATCCAAGAACCAGTCGAAGTCGATGCCTGCCTTGTGACACGCATGGGGCCCGAGTTGGCGAAAGGATCGAATCGAGCGATTCTTCGGGCAAGGTAGAAATAATGGCTGGGCACCTTCCAAATATGTAGCGAATTGACATGCAAATGAAAGCAAATTGACATCCAATATGCACCTTCCAAAAACAAATTGACCTATAAATGTGTACCGAACCTAGCTTTCCTGCTGAAAGGATGAGGCAACCAGCGAAAAACCCCGCGAAACGGACGGATTCCTCTTGGCTTTCCCTTTCAAACAAACCCAAAAAAGGGCAGCCAAAGATGCCAGGCACGTCCGGTTTGGCTCAATGCCAAACCGCCCGGGAGAAACCCCATCGTAACAATGTGGCCTCTCAACAACCAATCAGCTTGGACCTGCCAAGAGCCAAGGGTTCAAATCCCCACACGGGTTACCGGACACCGTAACGGAAACCTGGTATTGAAATGGTCTACCCAAAATGATAGTACAAACTATTAGAAACACGGCCGCGCCTATGTGCAATTGGGACTATCCCTTACTACCCTTCTACCCGAATCGGTTCTGAGCAAGTGGCTCAGGCATTGCGCTCTCAACATCTTGCTTTCTTCAAATACCTCTGAAGCCAACCAATGGGACCACAAAATTGAAACGTTGGAAAGCCAACCAGCTTTGGGATCCAAACTTCGGGAAGCAACGCCCAACGTTCCCACAGATTTCCCCGTGCTTGCTTCACTTGGGTGTTTTTGTTTGAAGCATCTAGCGGCTTAAATTGCGGCAATAGCTCAAGTGCCGGAAACACATGTCAACCAGGGGATCTCGAAAAGCCCAAACAAAAAACTTCCCATCCCCCTTTTGGTGTCCAATCCCCTTTTCCTTCTGGGCATTCAGAACCAGAATTCAAATCTGGGAGTTGCGATTTGGATTTCTGACATGGACACATGCATCCCTCCAACCAATCCACCAACTCAGCTGGTAGATGCGATGTTCGTGCAGCAACACGCATCCAGAAACTGCACAAGCTCCCACTACCCACTTGCCCCCCTCCACTCCGACTGCTAAGGTCCCCACAGCGGCCGCGCGCAACAGGCCCCGGGAGGAAGCGCCTCGAGCGCTCCTGGCGAACGGCTTCGAAGCCGAAACCGCTGGCCTCAGCTTGAGATGCCCAGAGGCAACTGGATCTGACATCATGCCCAAAGAACTCGCAAACGGCTGTGGATCAAAACCAATGGGATCAAGTTTTGGGGTAGGTGAATTCACCAGTCTGTATTTTTTGGGGATTGGGATGTTCACTGGGCACGGGCTTTTGACCCACAGCCAAACAGCAACCCAGCTAAGTGAGGTGTTCCTGGCGACCCATGTCCCACACAGCACGACCAATCCCAGGTGACTGATCGCATCGCCCGCTGTTTACACTTCCCACGAACCGAACGCACCTGGAGGCGCCTGGAGCGGACCTGGATCATTTCCTTAAGGCCCCCGTGTTGGATGGGAAACCAATTTTCAGAAACCAGTTTTGATCAGGCACCCGAGAATTCGGTGAAAACTCAGGCAACCGAGCCCTTTTGACTTCGATGGTGCCCTATTGAAGTCGACGTGGCTGATGACCGAGACCGGGCTAAACGCTTGCCGCTCAGCTATGGCAGCTGGCCGATCTGTGGATGGACAAAAACAACTTTGCATTTGGCAAGTGGTTCATCCCAGTTTCACACTATATTGTGTTGTTTGAGGCTATCAAGAACATTCTCAATGTTATCGGTTGCAATAACAGCAGCTTAGTTATTAGTAGCAGCAATATTGTGACTAGTGCCGCATTGTGACTAGTGGCACGAGCAACAGAAGTAGTAGTAGCACTAGCAGCAGGAACGTCAGCTGTCCCAAATAGGCTTGCTACTTGTGTAGTAGTAGTAGTAGTAGTAGTAGTAGTAGTAGTAGTAGTAGTAGTAGTAGTAGTAGTAGTAGTAGTCGTGGTGGTGGTGGCGGTGGTGGTGGTGGTGGTGGTAGTCGTAGTATTAGTAGTAGTAGGAGGTAGTAGGTAGTAGGTAGTAGTAGTAGTAGCAGCAGCAGCAGCAGTAGTAGCAGTAGTAGCATTGCTTCATCCTCATCGTCATCCTCGTCGTTGTTGTTGCCGCTGCTTTCATAGTCGTCGTTCTTATGATTGGTTTGTTGTTGTGAATTTACTATTATTGTTGTTGCTCTTCTTCTGCTTCTTTTTCTTCTTCTGTTTGTTCTTATTCTGCTTCTGCTTCTTCTGCTGCTGCTGCCTCTTCTTCATCTTCTCTTCTTCTTATTCTTATTATTCTTATTATTCTTATTATTATTGTTCTTCTTCTTCTTCTTCTTCTTCTGCTGTTCTTTGTTCTTGCTCCTGTTCTTCTTCGTGTTGCTGTTGCTGCTGCTGTTGTTGTCGTTCTTGCCTTTGTAGCAGTAGCAGTAGTAGAAGTAGTAGAAGTAGTAGAAGCAGCAGCAGCAGTAGTAGTAGTAGTGGTGGTGGTGGTGGTAGTGGTAGTAGTAGTAGTAGTAGTCGTGGTGGTGGTGGTGGTTGTACTAGCACCAGTACCAGCACAGGTACTTGCATCTTCATAATTATCACTCTGATAAATCGTAGTTTGTTGAACTTCCCCCAAATATGACTATCCTAACCCTTCAGCATTTTGCCTGTAGCTGACACAACAGGTGGCAAGAAGCTCTGCGCAACACCTCCCCACCCCGCGCCTTGGCCTTGGGGCAAAAGTTGCAGGCCCAGCAAAGCCCGGGGCATTCCTCAGCACGACTGCACAGAGCAGCGCAGCCGCCACGGCCTTCAGAAACGGAGACGGGAGACATCCAAGCGCGCCAAACGCGCGGCGCGTTTGGGGCCGGCTGTTTTTTACTTTGCAGCTTCTCCGGGAGCGCTTGGGAGGTTTCTTTCTGGGCCATGAGAATGACGTTTTTTGTTTTTCTTCGGGCGTTGGCGCATTTGCTTCAGCTGAGGCTACTAGGTTCTAGGTGCGGGGCGAGTTGGTGGTTCATGTTCAGTGGGTTGAGCCGAGGCGAAGTGGAGTAGCCACGGTTTGCTATCCTGCTGCTGCCCTGATCAACAGTTGATCTGAGACTGTGCAAAGTAACGACCTCTTGGCTAGTGGTGGGAAACAATGCTTTTCAACCACAACAACGCCATGTTCTTCAAACCTAAGAGGTTCAACGAGTCTTATGCGGGCCCACAACATTCCGTTCGGCACCTTGCAAATTCTGAAAAAGTTTGCAGAGTTGGGTACCTGCCTGACCGCTCTGCGACTTGAATTGGAATCCCCGCACGGCTTTACCATAAAACCATTCGCGGATATCGCAAGGCACGGCTAGCGGGACAAACAATCACCTACGGGTGGCTGCTCTGCCATAAACATCGCACCCTGCCAATCACAAACAAGGAAAATGATCTTCCATGGGCAGGGGACATGGGAAGATTCGTATGGTACCCTTGGTTATTATTGGGATTTTGAAAGTTATGTATGAATTCATCTAAAGATCAGTTTTGATTATTCTTTCGTTGACAAACCACAGTGCCTCTCGGAAGGGCAAACCCTCGAAATGGAGGAAAACTCCAAGTAGGGGACCAAAAAGGTTCGTCTCTTCTTGGTTTCCTTCAAAAGGCTACCACTCCGAAAAAAATATGGGACACTTAAACGAGTCAAAACATTCACCGTAGTTGGCCCCTCTCCAAAGCGGACACCACGCCTGGCGAAATATCCAACTGCAACGCCTGGAGGCCATTCTCCCCAGCCCCCAGCGCGCTTCGGTGGTGCGGTTGATTCCCCGATGTGGC